AAATCGTTAAAGTTATCGAGGGTAATAGTGAAAATCCTCCAAATATAGAATGGTTGAATAGTATATTAATTGAAGATAGATTGGTCATGATAATTAAAAAATTCTTTTTGTACAAAAGCTTGTCACCTATTTAAAAAAAAATAATGATTATTTAGAATATTTAGCAGACTTTTTAAAATTCAAAGAATTAAATATTCGTAATTATTCGTAATTAGATCAAAAAAAAAAAAACATCGTTATACAAATTTTTTTAATACTGCGGCTCAGGAAAACAAAAATGATAGAACAATTAACAGACTTATTTACTTCATTTTTGTCGGGCCTTGCGACAATGGTAAGTAATTAACATAAATACTTATATAAAGGATTAGACATTTAGACATTATTATTAATAAAACATCCACAATTCATAATCTTTGTAAATAGGCGTATTTACACAATTTCTTCGTTTCCGTAATACTATATCGATCGGGTCATGCGAATGTGTCGAATATTTTAAAAGTAATATTCAACTTTAGTGGAATAGCAAGATCTGTGATTATATATTCTTCGATAATGGTTTTACACAATATCTCACCGTCCCAATGCTCGGCTTTAACGTATTTACAAGTTGTGGCAAATTTTTTTTATCGACAAGCTTTAATGGGTTTTTTATTGTGGAGATTAAAACAGATAGAGTATTCTATCTGGGATCGATGGATTAGTTTTGGATTATTCACCACTAGAACTATTTTAAACGTAAGCTTATTATATATCAATTTTTCAATTTTTCGTTGTTTTGCTTAATATTCCTTTCTAATTATATTTTCTAATTATATTTTCTAATTACATTTTCTAATTATACCTTCTAATTACATTTTCTAATTGTATTTTCTTAAACAAAGCTTGTATACTTTGGATATCAAAACCCACAATCAATACCGAAATCACAAGATCTTAGCCAAACGACTTGTATTTCAGCTCATGAGCCCGAAGCATTACCAATCTATCTAAGTTTTGTGGGAATTGATTTTATCATTGATTCATTCGTAACCATTCGTCTAGTTCAAATATTAACAGAAGGAAATAGAAGTGCTGCTGAAGCTAATTCAATAATTGGCAGAAAACCTCCAAAAAGAACATTATTTACCGCCGTTTTGTATTGGAACTTTTTAAGATTAACTATAGATTTTTTTTTTAATGCGATATCTGTTATTCAAGCTGTTGGAAATCCTTCAATTGATTATTCAGCTTTGAATGGTTTATTATGTTTTGTGACTATTACACAATCTTATTTGATTACTGTTGATGCTGAAATCGTTAAAGTTATCGAGGGTAATAGTGAAAATCCTCCAAATATAGAATGGTTGAATAGTATATTAATTGAAGATGGGAGAGGTGATGATAATAATAATAATAATAGTTATAGTAATCTTAACGATCTTAATGATCTTAACGATAATAATGTTGATCTGTCAATGGTAGGAACGCGGGACGTACCTCCTTCGTCTTCATCAACAAGATCAATTTCCAAGATTATGAGTCCATGGGCTCCATCTACATCTAACGTTACTCGTCGATCACAGTACACACCACCATCTACATGGATAAGAGAATCCATGCTTGGACAACGACAAACTGGTTCTTTTCAACTTGATAAAGGAAAAATTGTTGTAGTGTCAATGCAAAGATTATCATTTTTCGAATGGGCTAATATGGTAACTGGTGGTGGTGATGATTATAGAGTTGTTAATAATAACAATTCTCACATTGAACATGAAACTAAACGAAACAAAACTGATAGAGATGGAACGATTGGTTTTAATAATTTTGGAATGGATTCGGCTAGATTAATTGGTAATCATAACTCGTTGGTACCTGAATCTG